TATATAAAGAAAAGAGAATGTACAAAAGAGGATAGGTAGATCTTGTAGGATCCTGAGTAAAATTATCAAAAATTTATCAATTATTTATTTGCTCGTTTGAATGTTTTCAAGGGGTTTTAGAAACTGTACACATAAAAACCATGATTCAAAGCTGTCTTTCTTATTTGAAGGATTGATGTCTTAAATTCAAGTACCTTTTTGGCTTTCTTAAAGCTGTGCCTAAATAAAATCGTTTTCATGACAGACCCCAATTTTAAGGACTTTTCAAACCCTGTGAGTACCTTGGTTAAGATGCTAAGATCATTATGAGTTGATTTCATTAAGGAAATTGATTAAGGATAAAAATCCAATAACAAATTAGAGCTAGGATGAAAAGTAACAGTCAAGATTATGGAACTGAGTAAGGAACTGAGTAAGGGCTAATGTAAGAATTTGGGTGAGGGTTGAAGAAAGTATAAGGCCTCGGAATAACATAACTGTGAGATTCACTATTTTTGCTGGACTATCAATATTCAATATAAATTAAATCAGAAATACCGAACGAGTTACTTTGTATTACATCTCAGCTGTTCTATTAAATTAACAGTGATATAAAATTGAGATAGCATGATGTAAACGTATACAACTGAACAGCCTTGATTTATTAATTGCCAAACATATACATTCAGCAAATGCTCACCAGGTGGCGTAAGAGGAAGACCTGTTTTCACGTTCTTCAGCACGACGTCGTGTGCATGTGCGCTGCCGGCAGGGGGCGCTGCTGGTTCTGGCTGCAGGTGCGCATGTGACCACAACTGCTGAGCATTATGACTTCCCCCTGTCGGATCTGTGTGTGAATCAGTACATTTATGGTCAACTCAACAAAATGCACTATCATTACATCATAACTACTCGTTGTTCACATCATTTACCTCAGCATTATCTACTATCTACTCGCTGAAAGCAAACATTACTGGTAGACAATGTGTACACTCTCCACTTGGCCCACAATCCTACATCATAGCCCTCAAAGCTACGACACTATACATTAAATTACCCCACTATACAGCCCTTATAGGCCCCTACAGTACTCCCTCCACCTTACAACTACACACTAAGCTAGGCTCTTCATATTCACGGCGTGTGCGTGTGTGTGTGCGTGCGTGCGTGCGCGCGTGTGTGTGTGCGTGTGCGCGTGTGTATGCGTGCGTGTGCGTGTGCGTGTGCGTGTGTGTTTGCGTGCTTGTGCGTGCGTGTGTGTGTATGTTTGTGTGTGTGTGTGCTTGTGCGTATATATACATATCGCTAGGCTGACTTTAAGCTAGTCTGAATCAATCAGGAGCGATAACTTCTGCATGCGTGATCAAGAGACTCCTGCCACGTGCACCGCATTCTAACAGACTCACATTGCGTACGCTAATTTTCCCGCTAATCGCTACACGTGAATGCGTGCTGCGGAGGTTTATCATGCGAGAGGGGTCTTAATTCGCTTCCTAATGCTCCCCCCAACCTCGAGCTAAGAAATCCAACAAGCAGTCCACGCTTATGGGTGGGGGGTGGGAGGGGGGCTCGTATGATTCAATTCTGTTTTGCGGGTCGCCAAGGTGACCCGCCATGACACACGGTGACTAGAGTTACCCGCCATCTTGTTAAATCCTATAATTACTACTTAGTTATTATATTAGTTGTTAATTACTACGATCCACATGATACATGTACGCGCAATAACTAGCAACACTTCTGTGGTTTGTTGGTACCACTACTTGTGTATGCTTGGTAGCTAGCAATATATAACGGTGATTGTTAGCTAACAAAACCGTACTATGGTTGGTAGCTAGCAATATATAACTGTGATTGTTAGCTAAGCAAAACCGTACTATGGTTGGTAGCTAGCAATATATAACTGGGGTTGATGTCTAGAACAGTGCTTCTTAAACTGGTGAATAGTTCACCCAAGGGCGAATGAAATTATTTTGGGGGTGAATGAAAATGGGTAAAAAAAACATAAGAAAATTTAGTATAGTGAGTGAATGGAATTTTGTGATAAAGACTCGAGGGTGAACAACACCGAAATAGTTTTAGAAGCACTAGTCGAGAGCACCGAGTCGTAGGTATGAATGCGCTCACGAGGGAGTGCTCCCATTGCATGGCTGCACAAATCACGGCCTTCACATGAGAGACAAGCAAAGCGACTTGTCGCTGAGAGGTCTCCGTGGCGACGCATGGCAGGGGTTGCACAGCTGTATTAGCGACAGTGTGTTGTGTCACGACCCGCCAACACATAATACGCCACAATGCGTCGGCCGCTCCTCAGCCGGTCGTTCGCTGTGTGCGCGCTCTCACCCCCCACCCCCACCACCCCCACCACACACACACACACACGCGTGCGCACCCCGACCGCCGTCTCCTTACACGCAAACTTCTTCCGGGACCTTCACAGGAAATTTAACAAACAAAATGCGCAGGAAATGTCGATGCGAACACTCACAGATTGCCGACGTACAAGCTCCGCCGGCCTGGACACCAGGCTGTCCGCGCAACAGCAGCAGCAGCAGCTGACGCCGACGGGACGGTCACCGTGGCAACGGAGGATGGAGATGCGAGCGCATTGCTTTCGTGCGCGCACACAAACACGCACGCACACACATGCACGCACACACACCCACGCACACCCACACACACACACACACACACACACACACACACACACACACACAC